TTCTCAGTATAGTCAGAAGAACGAATCCTAAAATCGCATATTTGAGCACCGGGAAATGAAGGACAGCTATTGGGACAATTGGGACACCCACCTCACAGGCTCCGATAAGCCAGCATTGGGGCTACTCTATGTTCTGAATCTTGACAGGGCAATGCTGGCTTTGTAGTTTGTATGTGTTAATTTATCTTGGCAACGAAGGGCAAAGAATTTTGTTTTATTGGATATTGTAGGTTCGCAAGGCAAAGTATTAATCAAATACCATACGGAAAGTCCACTGAAGTACTTTGTTGTTGCGCATGAATGAAATATTCAATGTATTTTATACAAAACATTCGCCCTATGCGAGTTTAACTACTGCAGCACTTAGTATATAGCTGACTATTGACTAAATGAATTCAATTTTAAAGACGGTTTTTTGTACAAGTAAAGTACGCACTAGACACTAATTGAAATAGAAGCGGCTTGAGTTTCGTAGTAATGCAACCAATGCTACTGAAGTACTAGTTAAAGACTACTGATGCGCGATGCCTGAAAAGAGACAGGCTTTAAAATGCACAATTCTCATAGTAAAGTGGTTGTTGCCTCACAAAGGAAGGTCACAGCACAAGTAAATTCACAAACGCAAAATACATCCCGAAATGCAAGCTTTTCAGGGGAACTTCTGGTGAAGTTTGGATTTGGGGGTTTTAAAGTCTCTCTAGAGAAATAAAGCAACTGTTTAAGCAAATAACTCTAGGCAACAAACCTGCTTCCAGACAAATGTTGCTTCTACTCGGCAAAATATAGCATGCTGATTCTACCAATCTAGCAGTCAGTGAATATTCAACTATTGGGTGAGTACAAGATTTATTGATTATACACAGAATATGACATAATGCTCAGTAAATGGTACTGGACTACAGAAAACTAATTCAATTACGTACTAATGAAATACCATTTATATACTACTTGCTTAGACAAGTACAATTTACATAGAAAAGCCTTGAAAAGCACAAATTTCCAAGAACCATATCATCCACCCAGTAAAGGCTATAGCACTGAGCATGGGAATGTGGGGTTCGGTGGCAGAACCAATGCTCAAACGCTCTTTACATGCCACTTGAATATGAAACTAACCTATTCATGTACCCATTAATTACAGTACTCTTTATATACGATGCCTAGAAAAGTACAATTTGCATAGAAACGCGTAGAAAAGCACAATTTTCTTAGAGGGAAAGGGGGGGCTCAGGAAGGAAAGGCAGTACGGAAAAGCACGAAAAAACCACAAACGCACAAAAACACAAAAAAAACTACACGAAAAGCCAAACTTCGCAAAAAGAACATAACAGACAAACAGATATATTTCAGGATTCTCCACAAAATTCTCACGGAAAACAAAACAAACAATATCTCAGGACTCTCCAAATCTGTACGGAAAACCAAAAAACCAAAAAAAAACCAAAAGAACCAAAAGAACCAAAAAAACCAAAAGAACCAAAAAAACCAAAAAAACCAAAAGAACCAAAAAAACCAAAAAAACCAATTTTCAGGGACTCTTTGAAATTAGGCCATCTGCTGGAAGAGTCCTGAAATATTGGTTTTTTTGGTTCTTTTGGTTTTTTTGGTTCTTTTGTTTTTTTTGGTTTTTTGGTTTTTTTGGTTTTTTTGGTTTTACGTACGATTTTCCGTACGGTTTTGGTGGAGAGTCCCGAAATAGTGTTTGTTTTTTTGAGGTTTTTTGTTATCCGTGGGACTGGAGAGTCTAGAAATATTGTTGCCACTGGGGTTTTTTTAGTTCTTAAACAGCGACAAAAGGCAGAGAAAGTGCACGCCCACAGTCCCCCGTTTTGTTAAAAAACACCCCCCCCGTAATGAAAAGAATTCGGACCCCGGAACTCAGTGATAAACCCCCCCCCTCAATAATAAGAAATCCCGGCAGCGGGACAGATTTTTTTCTGTGTGGGCCGGGGGGGGGGGAGGGGGGGGGGTGTTTTATGATTTGGAGGTCAACACTAGGGGGGGGGGGTCTGTACATACAAGGAACCTACCCCCCCCGAGTAAACCCTGGTAAGCTTCCTGCAGGGAAACCCCCACATTGGGAAAAGTAAGCCCGACCCGGCGGTCCGTCCAATCCACCAAGACCACCCTTCTTTTGTGGTTCACGTACAGGCGCCAGAAGAATCGCCAGATCCTTGCCACTCGGAACCCTTGGGTTTGGGGTTTAGGGTTTCGGGAAAGCCTGACTTTTGTCAAAAAGAACTCTCTGGGGGTTTTGAGCCACATGGAATAAGTTATTTCTGGAGTCTAGCTCGGTCAAGTGCACGTTCAAGGTACCACCTGCCAAAGGGCCCGAGGTCCCGGGTCCAAGGGCGATTCTTCAAGCACCCAACGACCGCCGAACTCGCATTACCTAAACCCTTGACCCTTCACTAAGCGCTTCATTTTGGGGGGTGTCGGTGGGAACTGCTCGTCGGAGACCCCTGGCCTGAAATCCTGCAACCGTTTAAGGGTTTAGGGGTTCAAAAAAGGCTTCGGGCTTTGGGGCTTTGCGGTTTAGGTGTAGGGTTTAGGGTTAGGGTTTAGGGTTTAGGGTTCAGGGTTCAGGGTTCAGGGTTCAGGGTTCAGGGTTCAGGGTTCAGGGTTCAGGGTTCAGGGTTCAGGGTTCAGGGTTCAGGGTTCAGGGTTCAGGGTTTAGGGTTTAGGGTTTAGTTCAGGGTGTAGGGTCACAGGTGCTTAGGGTTTGCACCTTGTACTAGGACTCCTTCGCATGGCCAAGAAGCGAAGCAAGAAGGAAGCTCAGGAACTGAAGCAAAGCCTCTTTTCAGAGAGCTCCCATGGTTTAGGGTTTGGGGATTTAGGGTTTAGGGTTTAGAGGTTTAGGGGTCTAGTGGTTTAGGGGTGTGGGTTCGAATTGAGGGTGTGGGGAGGCGGGGGGGGGGGGGGGGCAACATGCAGGAGCCGAAAACGTCCCAATTCCATTCCTTTCGGGTGATATGAACTCCAACATACTGATTCTAAACAAACTCTGCCCGAAAGCCACAAGCCTCGAAGTGCCAATTGCAAAACAAGCAGGCGCCTATCCTGAAGAAGCTCTAAACCCGAAATGCTCAGACCCCCCCCCCCCCCCTCAATCACTCTCTGGCCTAGGCTTTTGAGCTTTTGGGGTTCTACAGGGTTTTTTAGCACGCCAACCAAACAAATCGGACCCCTCTTCATCTTTGGGTGCGGTTGGATGTAGGGTGAGGCATGAGGGGTTTAGTTTAGGGCACCCTACATGGGGGGTGTACGATACTAAGGGCACCCACACACAATAAACCCTCAGCCCCAAACTAAACCCTCACAGGCTTCAGGGGTTTGGGGAAGAGTGAAGCCCCCTAAACCCCTGCGCCTTCAGCGACGATAGGAGGCTCCGCGAACGGCATTTCGCCTGTGGCGGCTCGGAGGAACCCGCAATCCCCGCCCCACACCCCACACCCCACACCCCACACCCCACACCCCACACCCCACACCCCACACCCCACACACCCCACACCCCACACCCCACACCCCACACCCCACACCCCACACCCCACACCCCACACCCCACATCTTCAGCGCCTTCACCGGGCTTGGGGTGTGGGGGGGGGGGGGGGTTGGGGGCCTCCCCAGACTTTCCCTGAAACTATTCTTGGAGCTTGGCGCGGCCAAGACCTCTCTGAAGGCAGTATCGTTGCACCTGTGTTACGTGCAAAACCGTTTCCAGCCTACTTATGTTACTTATGATTATGAGGAGGGTACCCAAAGGCTCCTATGTAGTACCTGTTTGGGGTAGTATACTAGAATCCCCTATAACTAACCCCAAAAGGAACTACATTGGAGTGGGTAAGCAACACCAAAGCTCGCCCCTACGAACGCAAACGCCCCGACCTCCGAAGGAGATGTGACTCGCAGCTATTCGAAGCTGCCAGGATGGAGGCTGCAGATATTCTGCTCTTGGCGGTCCCTCAACCCTAAAACCTGAACCCTAAACCCTGAACCCTAAACACTCAACCCCATAAACCCTAAACCCCAAAACCCCAAAAACCCTAAACCCCAAAAACCCCAAAAACCCTAAACCCTATAACCCTAAACCCTAAACCCTAAACCCTGAACCCTTCGAGGGCATGGAGGGGTTGAGTCAGCCCCAGGGCCCCACATGCGGCCTCAGTGAGGCCTGGGGGTTCCTCAGCAGCTTTTGCCGGCTCCATCCCCCCCCGGAGGCACGCTTCTCTGAAGGGGTTTAGGGTTTAGGGTTTAGGGTTTGGCCTGTAGGGTTTAGAAGGTCTCTCGAAATTTAGGGTTTAGGGTTTATGGATAGGGGTTAGGTTTGGGGGGGGGGGGGGGGGGGGGGTGAAGGACTCTAGGATTTAAGGGTTCAGCTTCTTGTGGTTCATGTTCAAAGCACTATGACCTCTGGGCGGTTAGGGCTTCGGGCTCTGAGTTTCTGAATGCCAAGCTACAGCTTGAGAAAGTATAGGAGGCAGCTGCATGTTGAGCCGAAAATGCCCCCGAACCCACGCAGCCGTGTCACTCACCTCTCCCAAACACCCAGCCTGCAAGCCGAAGCTCACACACAGACTCCTTCCTTTGCTCTAGCTACGTCTGAGCACCCTAAACGTTGGGGGTTTAGGGTTTAGGGTTAGGGGAACAGCCCCCTGCTTGTCCCAAACCTCCCGGGAAGTATGGATGCACAGGAGAGCAGGAGGCAGTGAGGTTCAACTCGAACCGAAACCTCCTACAGAGGACTGAAGGACTTGGAGCCTCCAAAAGCCAAACCCTAAATTTAAGCGAGCTTTGCTGTGGCGCAGAGAGCCGAACTGAAGGCAGGCCCTGTTCTCCGAATGTGTGCGTCATGAAGGACTTCGCTTTGCTGAGTGCCTTAAACTCTCTCAGTTCTCGTGACTGAGGAACCAGCCAGGCAGCCGTGCCCCAAGCCGCGGCACACTGTGAAAACAACGCCACGCACGCTTTGTGCTGGCCCATGCGCCCGTGGCTAAGTCTCAAGACTGAAGATGCCGCTCTATAAGCATTTTGACCGGCGGAGGGTGATGTTGCTGAGCCAATATCTGCTTGGCAGTCCTTCCCTGGCGATCAGGCTGCTCCGCATCAGCTCGATAGGCGAGAAGGCCCAAGACAATCGGAGCCACATGCTGCTCTAGAGCTGCATGGAGGGGTGTTCTGCCCCAGTTGTCAGCCCGGGCAACGTCCACATGTGCTAGAAGCAGGGTCAAGACAGCCCTCGTATGGCCCATGGAAGCAGCCACCCACAGCGGCGTCCTTTCCCAGTTGTCCGCAAGGTCAAGATCAGCCCCAGCGGAGAACAGGGCCCAAAGGACTGTCTCGGAATTGCCTCGGGCAGCAACCAGGGCCGGTGATCGGCCCCAACGGTCTAACTTGTTGGGATCGGCCCTGACATCAAGGAATGCGCTCGCCATCTGATGGGTGCCCAAGGTGGCTGAAATCGCGAGCGGCGTCGTGCCGGCCACAATCAGGTCCTCTTCAAAGCGAGATCCGAACTCGACATTGTCCTCCTCTGTGCAGGCCCAATTGGGATCTGCCTTCGCGTCCGCAAGCAGGTAAACATCATCCCGATCCCGGTAGCTAGCACGGGATCTAATCCACCCATCCGACCCCTTCCATGCAGCATGCCACAACGGTGGCCCAAAGCAATCAAAGTCCCAGGCGCCAGGCAAGTTGACGTCAGCAGAGGCATCAATCAAGCGCTGCACTGCCCCTCCAGCACAGACGACAGCGTTGGTCAGGGCTGTTTGCCCACAGGGCCCCGTTTGGTTCACATCTGCGCGTGCTTGCAGGAGGACTTCGACGATATCCAGGGCATCACCAGCCTCTACCAGCGGTGTGGTTCCCATGTGTTCTTCGAGCTCCCCTGCCTCATTCGGGTCCTGACGAAAGGATGGCCCTTCAATCACCCTCTAAAACCCAACAAGGGAAAATGCAAGATATCCCGAGGCCTCTACTAGATGACATGCCCCGGCACCTGCGAAGCGCGCAGTGTGAGGCCTAGTTGGAGCGCCCTAAACCGTAAAACCCTATCCTCACAAACCCCAAAACCCTAAACCCTCAAACCTTAAACCCTCAAACCCTAAACCCTCAAACCCTCAAACCCTCAAACCCTCAAACCCTCAAACCCTCAAACCCTCAAACCCTCAAACCCTCCAAACCTTAAACCCTAAATCCTATACCCTAAACCCTCAACCCCTAATTCATTTGGGTCCTGAGGCTCGCTGAGGATCTGCTCCAGAGATTCCCAGTCCTGGCAACCACCCCAGCATGACCAGAAGCCCACCCCCAGTCTTGCAAGCCCCCAAAAACCCCGGCTAGGGTTTAGGGTTTGGGGTTTGGGGTTTAGGGTTTAGGGCTTAGGGCTTAGGGTTTAGGGCTTAGGGCTTAGGGCTTAGGGCTTAGGGTTTAGGGTTTAGGGTTTAGGGTTTCGGGTTCAGGGTTTAGGAGTACCCCATTCCCAAGCTCAAAGCCAGCCCCCCGAGCATTCTTCGGGGCATCTTCTGTCCCAAGTCTGGATGGCTTGGAGGAGCTCATCAGCCCGTCCCCTCTGCAGTGGCAGAAGAAGAAGCTGCACCTGTGTTGTCTTAGACCGGGTTTTTTAGGGTTTAGGGTTTATAGTTTTAAGGTTTATGGTCTTAGGGTTTAGGGTTCTTAGGTTCTTAGGTGTATAGTTTTAGGGGGGTTTAGGGTTTATAGTTTTGGTTTATAGTCTTAGGGTTCTCAGGGCCATAGGGGTTAGAGTAGGACGGGCGAATCAGCTGGCGAATCAGCTCTGAAGGTTTTCGGGCGAGGGTCTGGAAGCTCGAGGGTTTGGGCTTGGGAGGCTGAGGGCGGGGGGGGGGGGGGGGTATCCCTAAACCCTACACCCTAAACCCTAAACATTAAAACCGTAAACCGGTTCAGGTTGTGCGCTGTGGGGATGCGTTTGCGGGCTTGGGATCTGCACCTCCTCGTCCCAACTTTCCAGGGCGAAAAGGTTGTCCTAGCCAGGTGAGGAATGAGGGTTTAGGGTGCCATTATGGTTTAGGGCCCGGGATTGCGTTTACGTGTGGGCCGGGCAGGGGGGGGGGGGTGATGTTTCGAGGACGCCAGGCGAAGGGCGTGCTTAGGGTTTAAACTTTAGGAAGTTGGGCCGAGGTCTAAACGGGTTCCTTGTCGGCAAGAGGGCGGCCCTGGTGTGTCAGCTTCTGCCGGAAGGTGGAATGGCCACACTTCTCCTAGGCGGTTTCTTGTCCAGGGCTTTGGCGGTTTCATTTTTGGTTGGGATTTCGGGGGCTTAGGGTTTAGGGTTTAGGGCTTAAGGAACCTTAAACCCTAAACCCTAAACCCTAAACCCTAAACCCTAAACCCTAAACCCTAAACCCTAAACCCTAAACCCTAAACCCTAAACCCTAAACCGGGGGAGGGGCGCACCCCTGGCTTCGACTTCAGGTCGGGCCGGGCTTCGCGGATGCGCTTCTTGAGCTCAGAGGCTGTAAACACCTCTTCGCCGAGGGCGGTGAACCTTGGTGGCTGCTAAGAAGCCCGAAGCTGAAAACCCCAAGCCTTGAGCACCTTGTTGAGTTTAGGGTTTAGGGTTTAGGGTTTAGGGTTTAGGGTTTAGGGTTTAGGGTTTAGGGTTTAGGGTTTAGGGTTTAGGGTTTAGGGTTTAGGGTTTAGGGTTTAGGGTTTAGGGTTTAGGGTTTAGGGTTTAGGGTTTAGGGTTTAGGGTTAGGGTTTAGGGTTTCGGGTTTCGGGCTTGGGGCTTGGGGTTTGGGGTTTGGGGTTTGGGGTTTATTAAGGGTTTGGGTTGGGATGCTCCCCCCTATAACCGGGATGATAGTAGGGGTACGATAATCCCTATTAAGGACTGTTAGAAAAAGGCGGGAACATCCCAACCTAAGCCCTAAGCCCAACTCATCGGCTCTTTCTGAAAGGATGAAGATCATGGTAAACCGTGTGCGCAAAGAGCACGCGCATGAAGTGAGTCAACACTCCTCATAATTTTCTTCTTTCAATGATGAGAAATTGGAGGTACAAAACCCTTAGAAATCATGTAATCCTTTATCTGCATGGAATTATTTGTCTGAAATTATTATCGCACACTAGCTTCATATTTTAGATGAGCTCTTCCAGAACTTTCCTATCATCCGTAATGATAATGCTGGGGCTTTTAGGGAAGTGGCTCAAGAGCCCGCAAATGATACTGCATGTTCCTCACTCTCCCACCTTCTGGACTCAATTCTAGCCTTATTGGATCACCGGGGAAGTTATGGGTGATTTTCTTCACGAGATGTTCCCTGAAAAGACCGTTCATTCTTCATCTCTGTCTCAACCCTATAATCCTTTCATACAGGACAAGGGAGGAGCAAGGCAAACCACACCAAGCGGCTTACTCCGTATTGGTGTCATATGGAGCTACCTTGTGTGAACTACTTTGCAGACCCTAAGCCCGAAAAGCCCTAAACCCTATAAAAAAAAACAAACCCCAAACTGACAGGCAAGGAACTCGTCTGCCCCCACACTGACCACCTTGATGGTTGGGGGCTGAGTTTAGGGGTTAGTTTGGATTCAGGAGGGTTCGGGGGTTTGAAGCTTAGTGGCTTATAAGGCAAAGCTCGCAGGAAGTTCAGGGCATGTCTTGTATAACGCCTTTCCCTAACCCTAAACCTAAACCCTAAACCCTAAACCCTGGTGTTGAGGGAGCCGTGGGGAGTCCCTCAAGATGCCCCGGGGCTCGCAGCAAGGAGGGCAAAGTCTTGGCTTTAAGCCCCCCCCCCCCCCCCCCCCCAAAAAAAAAAAAAGCACGTGGTACAAATGCGGGTGGTGGTTATGCAAGACTGGACAAAAAACATCCCCCAAAAAGAAGACCCAATCATCCAGCACCGTGAGCGCCCCCAAAAACCTCCTAGAACTTAGGCCCTGAAGCTCGAGCCATACTCCTCAACCGTCCCCGGTGTTCAGCGCGCCCGAAGCCCAACACCCTGAACCCCCTACTACAGGCCTCGTCCCCGGCCAAGTTTACCACGCGCAGGGTACCCATGGCGCGGGACACGTGAAGGGATGAGCCTTGGCCTACGCTGCCCCCAATGACCAAGCCTTCCGAGAGCCTGAAAAACATGCCGGGCAAAGCTCAAAAACCCCTAAAAAAAAGCCCGAAGCTCGGAACCCTGAGCCCGAATAGCAACCTTAAGCTCCCTCAGCCTCGAAGTGTCAGCACTCTCTCACAAGCCAGTGAAAGACCTTTTGATCAGGGTTTCGGGTTTAGATGCTGCTGACCTCAAGCTCCCTTGGCACCTCTTTTAGAGCTGCAGCTGAGGGTTTTTTTGAGGGGGTTACAACGTTGAGGGGTTCTCGGCTTCAGTTGCGTGAGGGCTGAGTCACCTCCAACCTATCCCTAAACCCCCTCCGCAGAAAACCAGCGCAGGGTGCTTTGTCAGAAACCCTAAACCCTAAACCCTGAACCCTAAACCCTGAAGGCTAAACCCCGAATGACCTTTCACTGTGACCCTTCAACTCCTCGGTTCGCTGCCCGCTCTGACTTTTCCTCGTCGCTTCTGGTCGAGGACACTCCGGTCCGGAGGCTACAAGAAATAGTACCCTAAACCCTAAACCCTAAACCCTAAACCCTAAACCCTAAACCCTAAACCCTAAACCCTAAACCCTAAACCCTAAACCCTAAAATAGTAGTTACAACAATAAGTAATAGTAGTTACAACAAGAGGCAATAGTAGTTACAACAATAAGCATCCGGGTTTAGGGTTTAGGGTGTAGGGCTTAGGGTTTGGGGTTTAGGGTGATAAGTATAGTAATAAATATAGAAATGAAAAATAAAGTAGTAATAACAAATAGAAAGTAGCAAACAAAAATAGGGCAATAATAACAAATTGATTAACACTTATTAGAAGTAGTACTATAAGAACCATGAGACCGAGAACTCATGTAGTCATCGTCATTATTGTAAAGGATCGCAAGAGAAGTCTTTTGCCCTGGAATGCGGTTGTCTGCCCCTGTGCGCGTGCAGAAAAATGCTGGCGTACGCTGGAGTGCATCTTTGTAGTACTCTATAGCAAATGTGACAACACGATGCTCAGGTTGAACAAAGAGGCGACCGCACATTCAAAGGGCGACAGCACATTTGGGGGTTCACCAGCGCTGCTCGCGATGGGTTAGGGCTTGCCCATGCCCTCACTCGCCACATCACGCGATGCCTCAGAACTGACTCAGAACGGAGAGAGCTCAGAGCAAATCATGGCTTAAAGCCCCCCGGGATCTCAAAGCACAACTGTTGCAGCTTGAGATTTCAAAACCCTGACAAATTTGAGTCGTGTATAGAGGTCTATCAGACCCTCTCTGTTTCGAGTGTTCTCAACACACACCCCTCTCAATCTGGGCAACCCCGACGCAGGATGATGTGGCTGCCGCTGTCCTTCGTATCGGGCCCCTGAAGGTTTAGGGTTTAGGGTTTAGGTTTAGGGTTTAGGGTTTGGGGTTTAGGGTTTAGGGTTTAGGGTTTAGAGATTAGGGTTTAGGCTTTAGGGTACAATCCCCTGAACCCTCAAACCCAAAACGCCCTAAACCCCAAAACGCCCAAAACACCACCACAAAAAAAAAAAAACACAGAAATAAGCTGGCGAGAAAACACAATGAGCCCCAAACGGATCGTTCTGCTTCAAAGCATTGGCTAGCACGACGTCCGCCGAGTAAAACGAAGTGGTTGGGATGCCAGTTCGGCGCAACAATGGGGCCGTTGCAAATTGAGCATGTCCCCAACATAGGGGTACCCCTACCCCCCCCCCCCCCACCCAAAATATTATGACCCTAAGTATATAGGAACCCGCAAAAGGGTACCTCTGTTTTCGGAAACCCCCAGTTCGGAATAGGGACTGCAATCTTTATCCCCCTCCCGGTCAGTCCGTGTCGATGATGCCGCTCATCTTCCCCACTTCGAGGGCGTAGGAGGCTTCCTGCGAAGGGCGACACAGGTACCCACCCGAAATCCTGGAGTCCTAGACCCCCCTAAGCCGCCTAAACCCCCTACTAAGCCCTTAAAGCAAAAACAGAATCCCCTATATAAACTCTAAACCCTAAACCCTAAACCCCAAACCCCAAACCCTAAACCCTAAACCCTAAACCCAAACCCCTATTAAGCCCTCAAAGCAAAACCCAGAATCCCTCACAAGAGATGGGGCGCGGCCTCGAAGGGCTTCTGCATCTCACCAGGGCCAAAGAAGCCGAGATCGCCACCCTCACGATCGGCTCTTGGCAGTTTAGGGTTTAGGGTTTAGGGTTTAGGGTTTAGGGTTTAGGGTTTAGGGTTTAGGGTTTACGGTTTAGGGGTACCCTCAAAGCGACGCCAAAACGACTCAAACCCCCGAAGCCCAGCAGGTTCCAGACACTAAGGATCACAGTTCTTGGGGGCATTGTGGTTTCGCAGGGGCGGCTAACGGCGGCTACTCCTTCCTTGTTCCTCCGCCTCATTTGCCAGCTGAGCGCCTTGCCACAACAAACATCTTGCTAAGTAGGGGAGTCCCTCATGCTGGTGCACCGCCAACTGACTGCAGTCCCTGCATCGAGGAGCTCGGGGTCATAGTCGTGGAAGGAGGCATGGGGAGAATGAGCCCCGTTCAGTTGGCACCCTCTCGAGTGCTCACGGCATGACTGTGCTGCTGCAAGTGGCCAGCTCCCAAGCAAACAGCTCCACACAAAGCTTCACCGCTAGCTTCAGGCGCTGGCCATTGGTCTCTCAATGACACTCTCTGCCCAAAGGCACGGGGACTTTCCCCGCAGCATGCTGGGGAGCGAGCTCCCTGTCTGTTGGCTGCGTGGCCGTGCTTCCTCTGCCTCCTTTGCCAGCTGAGCGCTTTTCCATCTGTGGCTGCCGCAAAAAAAACACATAATCAAGTCATGCAGGTTCATCGCCACCAATGCACCAAACTGTACAAACCTGAACTGCAGTCCCTGCATCGAGGAGCTCGGGGTCATAGTCGTGGAAGGAGGCATGGGGAGAATGAGCCCCGTTGGCACCCTCTCGAGTGCTCACGGCATGACTGTGCTGCTGCAAGTGGCCAGCTCCCAAGCAAACAGCTCCACACAAAGCTTCACCGCTAGCTTCAGGCGCTGGCCATTGGTCTCTCAATGACACTCTCTGCCCAAAGGCACGGGGACTTTCCCCGCAGCATGCTGGGGAGCGAGCTCCCTGTCTGTTGGCTGCGTGGCCGTGCTTCCTCTGCCTCCTTTGCCAGCTGAGCGCTTTTCCATCTGTGGCTGCCGCAAAAAAAACACATAATCAAGTCATGCAGGTTCATCGCCACCAATGCACCAAACTGTACAAACCTGAACTGCAGTCCCTGCATCGAGGAGCTCGGGGTCATAGTCGTGGAAGGAGGCATGGGGAGAATGAGCCCCGTTCAGTTGGCACCCTCTCGAGTGCTCACGGCATGACTGTGCTGCTGCAAGTGGCCAGCTCCCAAGCAAACAGCTCCACACAAAGCTTCACCGCTAGCTTCAGGCGCTGGCCATTGGTCTCCCAATGACACTCTCTGCCCAAAGGCACGGGGACTTTCCCCGCAGCATGCTGGGGAGCGAGCTCCCTGTCTGTTGGCTGCGTGGCCGTGCTTCCTCTGCCTCCTTTGCCAGCTGAGCGCTTTTCCATCTGTGGCTGCCGCAAAAAAAACACATAATCAAGTCATGCAGGTTCATCGCCACCAATGCACCAAACTGTACAAACCTGAACTGCAGTCCCTGCATCGAGGAGCTCGGGGTCATAGTCGTGGAAGGAGGCATGGGGAGAATGAGCCCCGTTCAGTTGGCACCCTCTCGAGTGCTCACGGCATGACTGTGCTGCTGCAAGTGGCCAGCTCCCAAGCAAACAGCTCCACACAAAGCTTCACCGCTAGCTTCAGGCGCTGGCCATTGGTCTCCCAATGACACTCTCTGCCCAAAGGCACGGGGACTTTCCCCGCAGCATGCTGGGAAGCGAGCTCCCTGTCCGTCGGCTTTGCCAACCTGGTGAGCACCTGTCCATCCATTCATCCATTTGCCGCTTCATCACCGCGATTGCAAACTATACAGGTTTAACTGCAGTCCCTGCCGGGTGCAATGCCCGAGACCATGAGAAGCCGGCCCTCTTTCAGATGTCGAGTTGAAGGTTGCGGGCCAAGGGCGTTTTGCAGCTCTAATTTGGGCGCCTACATGATCAGAATAAGGTTTTGGGGTGGGTTCATATATATTTCTAATTATGTAGTATGCTGATATAGCAACCATAAAGGAATACTATTCTAGTAATTCTTCCGACCCCCCCAATGTTAGATGTTATCTTGTCAATCTGCACCGATGGCACCTCCCACGGGCTCTGCGTCTAACAAAGCCAAAGCGGCTGCGCAGGAATCGATAAGGGGGTTTCCGAATTTAGGGGTACCTTATTGGGGTCTTTAGTATCATCCGCTATTTGGGGGTCTATATTGGGGGCCCCTTATTGTCGTAAACCCCCAAAAAAGACCCTTCAAAAGAGCCTTGATAAACTCCAGGACGAAACCCTGAAGCCCGAAATTTGGGGCCCCCAGAGACTGCTCCCCTAAATCCCTAAATCCCTAAACCCGAAATCTCTAGATCCCTAGATCCCGAAACCCTAAAGCCTGAACCCCTAAACTCCTAAACTCCTAAACCCTACAAACCCCAAACCCTAAACCCTTAATCCCTAAATCCTAAACTCGGAAACCCTATAAACCCTATCAACCCTATAGACCCTATAAACCTATAAACCCTGTAAACCCTACAAGCCCTATAAACCCTATAAACCCTATAAACCCCGTAAACCCTATAAACCCTAAACCCTATAAACCCTAAATCCCTAAATCCCTAATAATCTAATAATCCCTAAATCCCTAAATCCCTAAATCCCTAAATCCCTAAATCCCTAAATCCCTAAATCCCTAAATCCCTAAATCCCTAAATCCCTAAATCCCTAAATCCCTAAATCCCTAAATCCCTAAATCCCTAAATCCCTAAATCCCTAAATCCTAAATCCCTAAATCCCTAAATCCCTAAATCCCTAAATCCCTAAATCCCCCAAATCCCTAAATCCCTAAATCCCTAAATCCCCAAATCAGTAATAAAAAAAACACCCTAAAAGCCCCTCCCAAGAAGCCTGCGCGTAGGAGCCACAGTCGCTTCGGCCCGAGGCTTCCTTGGCGAAGGCGTCGACGAGCTCCTTCAGGGGCTTTGGGGTTTAGGGTTTAGGGTTTAGGGCTAGGGTTTAGGGTTTAGGGTCTAGGGTTTAGGGTTAAGGGTTTCGGGTTTAGGGTTTAGGGTTTCGGGTTTCGGGTTTAGGGGTTAGGGGTTTGGGGTTTAGGGTTTAAGGTTTAGGGTTTTAGGGTTTTGGGGTTTAGGGTTTGGGGTTTTAGGGTTTTGGGGTTTAGCGTGAGGTTTAGGGGTTTTAGGGGTTTTAGGGGGTTTTGGGGTGTTTTAGGGTGTTAGGGTTCTGAGAGCCGTTGGAGTTCGAAGCTTGGGCCTCGGGTGCGCGAAGTGCTAGTGGCTTGGGCCGTCCGAACTACCCCACCTTTTCTGGGTTTAGGGTTTAAGTTTAGGGCTTATAGGGTTTATAGGGTTTATAGGGTATAGGGTATAGGGTATAGGGTTTAGGGTTTAGGGTTTAGGGTTTATGAACTACCCACCTTTTCTGGGCTTCCCTCTTTTTCTCAAGCCCAAGTTCCGGCTTTCCACCATGTCAGCTTTTGTTCAAGGGAGGCCCTGGCTGAGGCGCCCCTTTTCGGGGGGGGATTGGCAATGAAGCGACTTGCCTCTCGGGGCTGGAGCGTCAACTGTAGACTTGGGGAGTTCTTCCCAAAATTGGGTAGCCTCTTTTTTTTGGGGGGGGGGGGCTGAAGGGGGTTCTATCATGTTTGAATATCCGCCGACCCTGGCGGCGTGTTGGATGGGTTTGAGGAGGTGAAAACCTCCCTCTTTCCCTCCTTACCCCCCCAAAACGCGGGGGGGGGGGGCCCCCCCCCCCCCCCCCCCCCCCCCCCCCCCCCCCCCCCCCCCCCCCCCCCCCCCCCCCCCCCCCCCCCCCCCCTGCCTGCCTTGTGGGCTGTTTGGGTCCTGGTGCCACGAGCAGGCTGGGATGATCTTCGAACCATGCGATGAGGAAAGCATCCTTTGAGCCGACGAGTGGGTTTAGACCTTTCAACTATGCTTTAGCGGGGTCGGCGGCTTGAGCCGGAGGCTCTTAAATAGAATGGGCTCCCCTACTTGGGAACTATACCCCCTATAACCAAGAACAAAAGGTGCAGGATCGGCTGAAAGTTGAAGCCCTGGTCCTGACCGGACAGGGTCTGCAGCTTGCCGATGATGGCCTGCAGCTCAGTGTGGGCGCTGTCGACGCTGACCTGGGCTAATAGGGGGCTTGGGGAGTTTTGGGTTTTTGCAGGTTTCTAAGTTTATGGGCTTAGGGCTCAGGGTTCATATATTTTGTTGGGGGGCGGGGGGTCTCTAGGCCGCATATGGTGTTGCAATTTGCGGAAATGCTTTATGATGGCGGCCACGTGCTCCCACTCGTACAGGACTACTTGTCAGCATGCTTTGGGCGCTTTGGACTAGCCAGCTACCACTACCATCTCCAGGAGTCTGAAGACCGTAAGCCCTATGAACCTCCACCCTGCCAATGTTTACGATGAGGGAAGCCCCCAACCCGAAACTTCTTCTAACTCGAATCCTAAACACTTCTACATGCATCATGACTATAAGGCCCACAGACAACCTAGAAAAGTTCAGGGTTCAGGGAACACCTTGGGGCATGGACTGCTACCCCTGAGAAAAGGACACCCCAAACTACCCCAAGCCCTCAGCCCCCTTTAAAGATTGCTGCGGGTACTGAGGGTGTCCCTCTGGAGCCCCCTATGCCCACGCGGTGCATCCCAATCCTGCAAACCCTCCTGAATTGCACTAAGACCCCTCTTAAAGCCCCACAACCCTACAACACAACCCCCCCCCCCACCCCCTCAAAAAAAAAGACCCCGACATCATCCTGAAGCCTCCACCAACACCCCGTAAACCCTGGACTCCCGGGACAACCCAAAACCTCCCTGAAACCCTAAACCCTAAACCCTAAACCCTAAACCCTAAACCCTAAACCCTAAATCTCATCCCAAGCGACGCTGGAGGTTGATCCGCCCGTGCGTCGGGAGACCGGGTTGCGGGACTTGGTGTGCTTGCACCTGGCGATTCTTGTGAAGGGGCTCTAGGGACTATGGGGTTTCTGGGGGTTTGTGGGGGCTTAGAGTGACTTACAGGGTCTGTAGGGCATCTGGGATTTGTAGCTTACAGTGCTTTTTGGGTTTTTTCGGGGTTTACAGGGGCTTATTGCGTTCGAGGCAGCGGGTGAAGGGCGTTTGGGACATTACGTTTTTGTTTGTTGGGTTAGCGGTTAGCAGGGGCTGGAGCCGTGTTTACGGACATAGGGCTGAGAAGGGGTGTCTGGGTCAACTGCGAATGAATCCCCGCAGGTCGACAATCAAATGGAGCCAACGCCTAATTACTGGGGCAGCTTGTCTGTGCTCAGCCCTATATTGCAAGCCCTACACACCCTATAAGCCCTAAACCCTCAACCCAAACCCAAACCTTAAGCTCAGAACACTGTAACCCCTGCACGCCACATTGCCTTGCAGATCTTTTCGGAGGACCCCCAGCCCCAAGCCCTCAACCCAAAACTCTGAAGAACCCGAACCCCCAAGGCCTAAACCACGAAAAAGCCAAAGTCTTAAGCTCCAACCCTTAACCCCAAACCCCTATAAACCCTAAATCCTATAGGGTCCCTCAACCTCGGAACCCTGAAGCGCAGCTGGCGCGGCAGCAGGTGCAGGACTCGGATTTTCCCAGGCGCCTCATACTCGGGGTCTTTGGTGGGTTTAGGGTTTTAGGGTTTTAGGGCTTTAGGGTTTTAGGGTTTAGGGTTTAGGGTTTAGGGTTTAGGGAGGGTTTAGGGTTTAGGGTTTCGGGTTTCGGGTTTAGGTTAGGTTTGGGGTTGCATCCTCAAACCTAGAACGCCTCAATCTCACCCTGCGCCAACCCTACACCATCACTTAGAAAAACAAGCTGGGGGGGGGGGGGGGGGTGGTTTGCAGGGGCTCCTGGAATTGGGCAGGAAAATGCAGCTTGCCCTAAACCCCTAACCGCCCCAAATCCCTGCAGCTACATGCCCCATCCCTAAACCCTAGACATCCTTTAACCCCTAAACCCTCTAAGCCCGATAACCTGAGAACCAAAGCCACAAACATCCACAAACCCTCGGAGCTCCCACAAATCCATCAGCCCTGCATGAAACTCGCTCTCTCTCTCTCTCTCTCTCTCTCCAACCCGCCACATTTTTTTTGGTCCCGGAACCCTACCATAAGAGGGGGTTTTAATGAACCCCAGCCCACCCCCTTAGGGCCGATAGGCTTTCAGAAGCCCAAAAAACAACACAAAACCTGTAAACCCTAAACCCTTTCTGGGGCCCCGGGCGGCCGCCATGATGTCGTGGCTACGCAACCGGTGTTCCAACAAAGAGCACTCTTCGACTGAGCCGAATGAAAGGAGCGGATTTTGGGGTTTAGGGTTTAGGGTGGGTCTTAGGGCTTCAGGGGTTCTCGGGTCGCAGGGATAAGGGGATTAGGGGCGTATATAGGGTTTAGGGGTTTAGGCATTCGGAGATGCGGGGGTTTGGTCTTTCCGGTGGCAATGCAACCCCGAGTAGCTGCCATGCGGGGCATCCCAACCTTCGATCCAAACCCAAGTCGGCGGCTTCTTAAGACACTGGGTGGCGAAGGGCTTTTGGATGTCTGTCCTGAACCTTACACCGCCTATGCACAAGGTCAAGAGCCCATATAGACAACAAACCGAAAAGCGCGCTCCACTGATCCCGAAACACGGGGGGCTTCTGGGCTGCACCCCGCCCAGTTTGGAGTCATGTTTTGGAGAGAGGGGGGAGCTTTGGGGTTGATAGGGCTTGACGTTTGGAGGTTTAGGGCTGTTGGGGTTTGTGGACTTCGGGGTCTTCGGGATGGGGGTTACAAACCCTAAACCCTAAACCCTAAACCCTAAACCCTAAACCTGCCGCAGGTCATTTCTGCTGTGAGGATTGTCGACTGGCTCATCCCGTCAGCCGCGTCTACCTGCCCGTAGACACGAGAGCAAGCCGCCAGTGCTCGAACATGCTCCACGATTTAAACTGCAACATCGAGCCCTGAATCGGTGAGCTCAGGATCTCAGGGGCTTTAGGATTAGGGGCTTAGGGTCTCTAAACCCTAAGCCCTAAGCCCTAAGCCCTAAGCCCTAAGCCCTAAACCCTAAACCCGAAACCCTAAACCCCTAACCCCTAAACCCTAAACCCTAAACCCTAAACTCTAAACCCTAAACCCTAAACCCTAAACCCAGAGCTGAGAAACCACCCTGCAAGGTGACGGTAAAACCTAAGCCTAGGGAGATACAGAGCACTGGATGTCAAAGGCAGGCGACTGATTGCGAACTGCAGTCTAATCCGAGACTCTAAATCTAATGCGGGGTGCGAGCGCCCGTTCCTGATCCAGACTTTCAGAGCCACAGCAAAAACCCTTAGTTTGTAAGTTCATGCACGAAATTAGGGCTTTTAGGATTCTACTCAGAGGCCACATTTTTTTGGCCACAAGACCTCCGCACACCCTCAAGGAAGTACCTCCGCAGCATGCGTAGATAGATACAGATAAAAAAATCATGGCATAAGCCTTTTGACACAACATAACATACCATGTCAATATTATGAGACATAAATATAGAACAAGATGACAGAAACGAAGACCGTGCCTAACAAACTTTAAGAACGTTCTTAAAGGTCCCTGAAGTCTCGGGATCTGGCGCGCCCGGTCCCACATGAACTATGGTGAAACGGTTCTGGCCGATTTCGCGGATTTCGCGGAGAGTGTCTTGGAGCACGGTCCTTTTAAAAGCCGCCTTCCCCGTCAGCAGGAACTGAAGTCAACGGGTAATATATTGAGGGTCCCAGTGCACACTATAGACTTCACACTCAGGCGTGCTCCCTTTGTCCGACATATTCTGAATTCCACGCTAGAGCTGCGGCGTTGCGGTGGCCACATGGTGCGGGTCGGAGAGCACCCGTGCTCTGGCAAAAGGCCCCACAACCTGCGCTCTAGCCTCAGCTGGTGGGGGGGGTGGGGGGGGCAAAAATGCGAAATTGCAAGCCATCGTTTTGTCACATGAGCGGGGGCTTTGAAGGCGATAGTTCAACCCCCAAGAAGTGAAAGGAGCCGTCAACTTCGCACCAGCTCCCGCAACCACGACGCCACACCTAGCCACTTGCCGTCTCAAGAAACCTCCCCTTTTCCACCTCCTCGCCCAGAGCCCAAACGCTCAATTCGGCCGGAGCGCCTGTTCTTGAAATTCTGGTCCTTTCCAGGTCTTCACTTGCCCGCGAGCTGCATCTCAGCCAGCAAGGGGGCCTGCCCTCCTTGGCAGGAATGCCGTTTAGGGCCTTAGGGCTTATGAGTCTTTTCGAGCCGAAGGCGTAAGGTTGAACTTTCCGAGGGTTGGGGGCTCTTGGAGATGTTTATAGGTTTTGGTGGACCCGGGGTGGTGCTTCAGCTTGTGCCAGGGATCAGGAAGGCTCACTTGTTTGCTTTTGAGCCTTAAGCTCCATGCCTGAAACATCTAAATTCCAACGCTGCAACCCACAGCCCTAAACCCCCAAAAGATCCGGAAAGAGTCCAACCACCTGCGAAGCTAACTTTCATCGAGGCTTGAAACGCTTCGAGGAGCTTGCGGCTTTCAGCTTTCGGGCTGCGGGTGTCTGCTCATGGGGTTTATCGGGTGTCTGCAGCATATGGCGAATTTGAGGGGTATTTGGCTCACCCTGAACTCTGAACCCTTAAGACCCTGCGTCCGGAACCCGATAAGGCTAGAAGGCCCCAAGAACCCTAAGCACACCAATTTGGGTTCTTGTGAGGGAGACTAACAATCAGAAGGAAGTCCTACCTTAGTGGTGTCAGACGAGGTTCCAGGGAAGGCGGCCCGAACGTCCTGGTCGGACATGGTCGCCAGGTAGCCTGCATTGGTTGCATGGATGGAGAGAGAGAGAGAGAGAGAGAGAGAGAGAGAGAGAGAGAGACAGAGAGAGAGAGAGAGAAAGACAGATTGAGAGAGAGAAAGAGAGACCGGGAGAGAGAGAGAGAGAGCGGGAGGGAGAGGGAGGGAGAGGGAGGGAGAGGGAGGGAGAGAGGGACAGAGGGGCAGAGGGAGACAGAGGGAGGGTTTAGCGAGTTGCTGGATTTTAGGAGCTCGTGCTGCGATGCGGGCTACGCAAGTAATCAGCTCGGGTTGAGGGTGTCCCAGTATGCCCGAAACGGACGCAGCCCTCGCACTTCAAAACCCTGGAAGCTTTGGAAGGGTCCTTCGGAGTGCTCCGACAGGGCCGACACTGGCTCAAGGCCAGAGATGTACATCCCGCTTGGCTGCCAAAGGTCCTGCTTGCATGCAGTAGTTTTCTGTAAACCCTAAACCCTAAACCCTAAACCCTAAACCCTAAACCCTGTAAACAAAAACCCTCCGATCTGGTAGCATGGTGTAGAGCAGCTTTTGTATGCATATGCCGAGGGCGGATTCAAGAAGTGCTGAAGGGTTGCTCTTTTGTGGTGTTGGATGGAGAGGCTGAAAAACAGTGCTTCCCGCTTGGAGGTTCTCCGAGAATGTTTTGGTGTTTCAGGGAAGTAACAAGTAGGTGTTTCGGCTTTGGAGTTTAGGCACCCCCGGCGAAATAGTAGGGTTTGTAGGGTTTGTAGGGCTTACGGTTCCCCATTTATTTCCCGGAAGCCCAAGACCCTCCACACACTTCTTCGCGGCCGCTCCTGCAAAGGCTGGAGGAGCCCGGCCGCGGGGTTCCTGCGGAGAGGCGCGCCCTCCGCACGGGGAAGCGGCACGGCCACCTCTCTGGCGAAGGTGGGTTTGGGGTCGATGTTGTTGGGGGGGGCGGAATCGGGTGGAGTGGGATGTTGGAGATTTCGGGCTGTTTTCGGGGGGGCCTGAGGGCCTGACCGCACAAAGCGCCCCCAGGGCCCTGACAAAACCCTGCTGGATTGAGAGGTTTTGGCGTCTGGGCTCGCTTTTCCGTTGTACCGGACTCGGGGCCGAGGCGCAGGGCTCAGGGTTTGGGGGGGGGGGGGGGGGGGGCGCTCGACCAAATTCTGGGCGCCGTCGGGGTACCTAAAGGGAAGTGTAATGAAGACCCAGGCATTATTGTATTGGAAGCGGGTTCGAGTTCGGGGCGTTGCGCTTGTAGAGTGTCCGGCTTCTTCGGGGTGTGTTGCATTCGAGCCTTCCTTCGGAACTGGTACGGCAAAGGGAGAACGCGCTTGGTGTTCCATTGTACCCCTTAAGCTTGAACTCCCTTCATGAACCCTAGAACACGAAGTCCTCAACAAAGACCCAAACCTGACCCGGCACCCCAAACTGTCTCCCTGCCTCTTGGCCAAGCACCTCATACCTGAGCAGGCAAGTCTTGGCACCAGGGCTTCGTCTACCACGAGCGACCACAAGATGCTCTGTTCACTTTAGAGCACGTCGCTTAGGATTCAGGGCAAGCTCTTCTGCCTCGAGGAGGCCCAGTGGCAGCAGCTTACAACTAAGCAGTCTCTGAAGCCAGCCTCAGATAAAGCTTATGCAGGTCTACTCTGGCGGTTCCCGAACCCTAAATCCCACATAGCCCGAAAAAGCGCAAACCCCTAAACAAAAAACTCTGAAGCCGAGACAGTGATTTAGAAAACCCTAAGCCCGAGACCCAAACACCCAACCCCGAAACAACACGCCAAACCCCGAAACACAACCCTAAACCCCAGACCCCGAAACCGTCAGCAAACCCAACCCCTAAACCCCCGAAAACCCGAACCCCCCCCCCCCCAAAAAAAAAAAAAAAAACGAAACTCCAAAACCCCACAACCCCAACCCCAAAACCAAAAAACAATTGCGCCGCGCAGCATGGCGGAGCGTAGGCCAGCGATGCCGGGCACCAGCGCCGCTGCTGTGGCGCCACCCATCTCGGAGGTATTTTAGGGGTTATAATATGATGTTTAGAGTTTGGAGTAATTAGATTTAGGGTATAGGGTATAGGGTTTAGGGTTTAGGGTTGGGGTTTGGGTTTGTCAGTTCTCAAATGATGGTTCCTTTCTGGGGTGCCCTAATTGATTATAGGGCCGCCTCAGAATAGTAACCCCAAAAGGGACCATAATTTAGAGAACTCGCCATACGGAGCTTGCAAGGGGTTCATATTATAAGGCTTGTAGAGCTTACATTCTGCGAGCTTTGTTTCATAGTTTAGGGCTTATTCCAAGGATGCAGGGCAGGGCTTGGCTGGTTTTGGGGGGGTTGGGGGTTTTGGGTGTTCGTGAACATGGGGGTCTTGCAGGTCTGGTGGTGCCCCAAACGTCTGTCCAGCATTGCAGCTCCGTCCTAAACTTAGAGTCTTGTATCGAGGCGCCATGGAGAGATCGGCACAAACCACCACCGTGCTTGAGGACCGCAAAAGGTCGCGCAGATTCCTCGGGGGAGGCAGCGGACATAAGCTAAGAACAGCTTGAGATGGGGGAGTACTCGGTGGGGTTTAGGCTTTTTTTAGGGTAGTTACATGGTACCTTAATATGGGCTCTGACATTTGGGACGCCTCATATGCCCCTTGTATACCCTGTACAACCCAGAACCCTTTAGAGGAGACAAGGGGGCCCATGTAACTGCCCTTAGATATTCGGGAACCGTTGACCTCCTGGGAATACTACCGTGTGACGACTACGATCACGATCATGATCGCTATCATCACACTACCTGCTACAGCTACGGACGTAAAGGTTGTTCGGACCCTAATTCCGGAAGAGTAAAGATGATTCATGATGATTGCAGATTGCAGAAACTCTATTCTCATTCTCGTGGTCTACATTTGCATGAATGCCCAGGTGCTCTTCGTGTCTGGGGTTTTGGGGCCTTTTGGGGGATGAGTTTAGGAGTGCAAGCCTCCGAAATTCAAGCCTTCCAGGATTCAGGAATTAACAAATTAATGATAACACAATGCAGTATATCGACAACTTTCAGGAACTCTCATACATCATACATTCCTATATCTCCACCTGGCTCGGGTTAAGGAAACCCATATGTGCTGTCTTTTGGAAGAGCATCTGGCTCCCGCACTCCGCAAGCGTGGGGCGCAGGCAGGCGAAGCGGACGGAGGCTCCCCCCTTGCAGAGTTGTTGGTGGCTTTTTCTCGTGCGGCTGGCTGAGTACGTAGAGCAGTAGAAGTCATGCCCTTAAGCTGAGGGTTGCAGGCAGTATCAGAACTCGAGCTATACCGTAAACCCCTAGCCCCTAAACCCTCAACCCCTAAACCCTAAACACGCCGGATGGATGTTGGAATTCGGGGGATGCTCAAAGGAGTGCTCTGAGGATTCAGATCGCTCAGGTTTCCGAACTTTAGGGGGGCCCCCCTCTTGCGCAGGGATTCCTAACCCTAAACCCTAAACCCTAAGCCCTAAGCCCTAAACCCTAAACCCTAAACCCTAAACCCTAAACCCTAAACCCTAAACCCTAAACCCTAAGCCTAAACCCTAAACTTTCAGGAAACTCTACGAGATTTGGAGGATTCAAGGGGGGATCATCTCAGGGGCACCGCAAGCCTTTGGGCCTCCAAGCGTTGCTTCGGCAGATCCGTAGGGGTCGGAGTGGTCAGTCACGAACTAACGAGCTGCGAAACCCCCCCCCTAGTAGCCCAGTAACCATAGTATAATAAGGGGCACCCTTTTTTTGGTTGGTTACTTGGTTGGTTACTTTATAAGGGAACCCAGAACCAAAAAAAAAAGTAAAGGGTACCACTGGGCTACCAGGTAAACATAGAGAGCTACTTCAGTAGCGCCAACTGGACGGGCCTTCAACGCCAAGTCCACAGCGATGGCGCTCCCCTCTTCGTGGGCAGCGACAAAGGTCCAGAGCCTGAACAGATGCTTTAGGGTTTTCGCAAGGGTTCTGGGTTTGGGGGGGGTGAAGATTTAGGGTGTTTAGGGTTTAGTTTTTCGTGTTTAAGGTTTATTACAGGGTTAGGGATTATAGGGCTTAGGGCGCTTAAGGTTCGAACAATGCATGGGTTGTTTGGGATTCGTTTTTTCGGAACCCGACCCGAAGCAAGCCTTCCCTGGCCCTGACCTTTCTCGGCAATGGCCCCAACAAAAGCAATCGAAGAAGACAAACCAAATACGTAAAACCATCCCGAATTCGAGACTTCGGGGGTTAGGGTTTCAAGGGTTGTCGGAGCTTTGGCCAGCGTGGAACAGAGGGCCCATAAGCCGGGGGGGGGGGTGGAGGGGGGTGCAAGGAGTGAAGACACGGCTGGACTGCGGACCACACACACCTGCTTCTGCCCTTTGCGCTCGGTGCTTCAAGTGCAGAAAGCTTTCAGCTGCGAAACTACGCGCTCCTTGGGCTCAGAGGAGCTGTCCGGTATACTATGGCTACTATGTGGTCCCTGAAGGCTTCTCCTAGGAGGTCTTGACAGCACTAATTCCCCCTAAGAACCCCAACGCCTGCCTTTGTTGTAGGTTATCACTACAAACACCCTCATAAGATTCTTAGTTAACAAAGAGAAAGGGTTTGTCGATTTATGGGTTCTTACGGTGCCCTGAGGAGTCTGAACGTTGGAGTCCACATTCCCAGGTGCTTTCGATCCCAGGCGATGGTGTTGGCGCTGCCCATGCTGCGAGCGCTGCGGGTGTCGTAGCCCTTCCCAACCAGGCTGTTCGCCACCTTCGCGAGGTTTCAGGTGGCGTGAACAATGGGGAAGTTGCAGGTTCAGGCCTAGGCCACTGTCTACGAGGCTTTCTCGGATTTTGTGTAGATCTCGTTCACACATCGGGGGGAGGAGATTGAAGGTATCCGAGCCAAAGAATGCCGATGGTTTTGCGAGGATCCGCTCGGAGCCTAGAATTCAAACCTCTAGAGCTCGTAAACCCCAAACAGACGCGAAGCCACGCGAAGACCCATCTACGTTCAGCAATACGCAGACTGAGATAGGGCATCGTCAGGGCATGCAGCAGGCTTTACACAGACAGCTCCTCTGATGGGGGCCATCCCGTTGTGAATGAAGTGAGCCCTAAACCCTAAGCCCTAAGCCCTAAGCTCGAAGCCCTAAGCCCTAAGCCCTAAGCCCTGAGCCCCTGAGCCCTCAGCCCCTGAGCCCTGAGCCCTAAGCCCTAAGCCCTAAACCCTAAACCCTCAACCCTAGCCTCCTCCTCGGCCTTCATGTCCAAGCCCTGGAAGCAAGCCACCCCGGGAGGGTGCAAGCGGAAGAACCTCGCCAGACACGCGCTTTTTTTTGGTCTCACAGGGCCCATGTGCCCTGCATGTCTGTATTTCACTCCTAAGGAATCGTATGGGTCCTTAAGCACTGTAGCCCTATGGAAGTTACGGGTGTCAGATGCTGGAGTTGGCAGCTCAAAGGACATGAGGACACCGGGGACGCCAGGGACGCCCTCGGCCGAATGTTCATGCTTCTCTACAAAGGGTTGAGCAAGTTGAGCAAGCACAAAACCTGTCCAGAACCTAACTCCAAGTAGCAACGGATCTCTGCATTGGGGCTTGGAGGGGAGTCTCTACACTCGTCACTACGTTTCTGGCGCCGCCATGAAGCCCCTCAACCCAGAATCCAAAGCCCCTGAATCTTGAGAAGCCCTAAAAGGCCCTAGGCCCTGAACCCCGCCTTTCCATGGACGTTTGCGATGGGGACAGCTGGCCCTCCTGGGAGCACGGCAAGCATCAAGGTGGGTTTAGGGTTTAGAGTTTAGGGTTTAGGGTTTAGGGTTTAGGGTTTAGGGCGTTGTGGGCTTGGGGGGTTGAGGGCTCGAGGGTTAAGAACAGGGCAGAAGATGCCCAAAAGACTCGCCGTTGTCTGCTTCAGGCTTTTCCTGTCGATGGCTCCACGTCTTGCTGCCTTTTGCTCTACGTACCCCTGCCCATGTCCCTGACGAGGTGCCGGCGTGACTACGTTTTGAAACCACTCGGCTAGAAGCCCAGAACCCTAAACCTAAACCACTTGCCCTAAACCTATATGCCTTGAAGCACCTCGCTGATGGGAATGCCCGACGCATCACCCAACAGTCTGCACGCAGTCCATTCCGCCAGTTCTCACATGACCCCTGTTTGGGTGGCACCCTTGTACGAAAGTGGGGCATATCGGCACATGAAATCCGAGGCCCTGCAGTTTTGGTGATCCGCCAGAGCGTCGTCCGGCACGAGAGTTTCATGCATCGGGTCATAGGGTTTCGAGTTTATATGGTTGGGGGCCTCCGGATTCGCTCCATGTCCGACGTGCGCTATCGGATTGATGTTGAGCGCATGCCGCGCTCAGAACATATAGATTGTGGAGGGTATTTCTCGGGCCGTAGGTTTGGAAGGATGACAGAGTCTTCACTTTGGAGTTCGGGCGTGCGTGCTGCTACTCCTTGAATGTTGTTGTTCTTCGGACTCTGCTTGTCATGATACCTAATACTCATAGCCATGCAGATAACGGTTCTTCATCTAGGATTCCGGGTTGTGATCCCGGAAACTTCGTGCCGGATGCGCAGCGCATGGGTGGGCTCCTCGCGCTGGAAGGACAGCGCCAGCACGGCGAAGTCGGCGTGGCCGCGGCGCCCGGGGACCATGCCTTGAGAGTGGCCAGCTTGGAACCAGGGTGGGCGATAAGGCCCTAGAACCCCCCAATAAGCAGCCCTACAAAAGGCCCTTGTTTAAGGGTATTATAGGGTCTCATAGCCCAGCCTAGAAGAACCCCTAAACCCTAAACCCCTACGGGAAGAAGCGGCAATGAACAGACGTTCCGGCGCCAGTCTGTTTGAGGGCTTTCCGGGGGCCTGGATTCTGGGGAGGTGTCGTTGGGGGATTGAGAGTTCGGGGGTTTGCCCTAAACCCTAAACCCCAAACCCTAAACCCTAAACCCTAAACCCTGAAAAAAAGCCCTTGAGGCTCCTAAGAGGGTGATTCCCAGCTGCATCGCAGCTCCGGGGCATCCTCGAAGAGCCAGTGGCCCGGGGCCGCCCACCTACTCAGGCGACGCGCGAGGAGGTTTCGCGGACGACGGGAGGTTTGCAGACCCTAAACCCTAAACCCTAAACCCGAAACTCGAAACCCGAAACACTAAACCCTAATCCGGGCCCGCCCGCTTTTCCGATCAAGTTTTCTGATCCGGGCCCTGTTTTCCGATACAGGCTTCGCTGAAACCCTAAACTCCCGAAGCCCTTCAAGCGCGGCACCCGGATCCCTAAAGCCAGGGCCCGCCTGAGGTTGAGCCCGTGGACGGCCGAGGTCAGGCGAGGGAGAAGCTCTTTGGGCACCTTGTTCAACCTCGGCTGGCGGGGGGTTTCGGGTGCATCTAGGGAAGCTGCGATTCCTATTACTACTATTACTACTCTGTGATTATGATTACTAGTAGGATACTAGTATTACTATTCTGCGAACATGATTGCTAGTAGTAGTATTAACCTTTCAGAAAGCTTCATGGCGTTTCCATGACCGAGCCGCAGAGTAGCCAAGCGGTGGTCCAGCTTTGCCTCGGGCGTTTCAAGGGCGAGGAGGAAAGGCAGAGAGCCCCCAAGCCCTGGCACTGTCCTACAGCGACCAAAGCACCGGGTTTTGGGGTTGTAGGGCCCTAAACCCTAAACCCTAAACCCTAAACCCTAAACCCTAAACCCTAAACCCTAAACCCTAAACCCTAAACCCTAAACCCTAAACCCTAAACCGATTTTTTGGGCTTAGGGTTTAGGGGCCCTCAGCGCTCTGAAACCCCGAAAGCTCAACTCTGGGACGGGCTCCCATCCACAACTCTGAAGCTCGGATCCTGCAAAACCGTATCGAGACCCAAGAGCAGCCTAGGAATTTTCAAGGGTGCTCTTTTTTCGGTATTAAAGTGCGTATACGGGAAAATAATAATAAGAAGAAGAAGAAATCATAAAAAGGAATTAGGGGTCAACTCTGGGTCCTATATGTGCCCAGCCCCTCTGAGTCTCCGTTTTCAATCGGGCGGGGGCAGCAAGTCCTAGTCTGACGAAAGCGAAGCAAAGCCACCAAGTCATCGAGTTCGAAGGCGACTTGCCTTGGCTGCTCTTCACATTGGGCTACTGCCCCCGGTTCTTTGGTTGCGACGCGGGCAACTTTATTGTTGAGCGCTTTGAGTATGGGCTGTAGTGTCTTCTGATGTTCCCATTGCACAAGCTCGCTGTCCCCCCCCCCTCCGCCACCCAAAGAAACAAGGAATGCGGCACACACAGCAACTAACACGCGCGCGCGCGCGCACACACACACACACACCAAAGAAACACCAACCCTTGTTGCGTGCTTTGAAAGGCTGTTCAAAGATCCTGATACTAAGCCTACATAAGCCCCAAAGGGTACCAGGGCACGACATCGAAAGAACGCAGAACACCCTCCGGAATGTGCAAGAACCTCACCGGTTTAGGGAATCTAGAGCACAGCGGTTTACAAGGCCTCAGGGTTTTGGGCGTTCGAAGGATTAGGGTTTAGGGTTTAGGGTTTAGGGTTTAGGGCTTAGGGTTTAGAGTTTGTAGGGTTTAGGGTTTAGGGTTTAGGGTTTAGGGTTTAGGGTTTAGGGTTTAGGGTTTAGGGTTTAGGGTTTAGGGTTTAGGGTTTAGGGTTTAGGGTTTAGGGTTTAGGGTTTAGGGCGGGGACCCGCGGGCCCCCTCTGTGAAGCAACCGGGCCGCTGGAGCAGCGTCTTGCGCCATGGTCCGGACTTCGTCCATCGCCCCTGCAGCGGTCTGGACCCTTAAATTAAATTAGGGTTGAGGGTTGAGGGTTGAGGGTTGAGGGTTGAGGGTTGAGGGTTGAGGGTTGAGGGTTGAGGGTTTAGGGTTTAGGGTTTAGGGTTTAGGGTGTAGGGTGTAGGGTGTAGGGTTTAGGGTTTAGGGTTTAGGGTTTAGGAACCCAATTCTTGGGCTTGGGGGCCCTCTACAGTGAATCCCTTACACCGACTATCCCAAGACCCTATACCTAGCGAAGGCCAAGCAGCCCTAGAAAGCGACATATGCAAAAACTCGAGGAGTCTAAAGGCGAGTTCGCCCTGGAGGACGGGGGGAGTTCAGAGGGGTTTAGGGTGTAGGGTTTAGGGTTTAGGGTTTAGGGTTTAGGGTTTAGGGTTTAGGGTTTAGGGTTAAAAGCCCCCCCCCCCCCCCACCCACCCCCCAGTGGAAAGCATGGAAGAGCTGCCAAGCGCAAAACGGGGCCTCGAGCTTCTTCTCGATGATCTCCAAGACAATTGGCGTGGTCTGAAGGATGTGGTTCCTTGGGGTTTAGGGTTTTGGGTTTCAGAAGCTTTGGGTTTAGGGTTTTGGGTATAAAGTACTGACAAAGCTTAGAGTTCGGATTGGGTTGAGAAGGGCTCAGGGAAACAGGAGCTGCATACCAGTTGCGGCCCCAAGGAGCTGGAAAAAGAAGTTCAGCAAGCATGCGGTAACGGTCAAAAGGCGTGCAGTGGAGGTATCCACGTCTGTTGGCGGAACATATGGAGACACCTCAGGGGGGTCGCTGTGACGAGGAGAGCCAGGAAACCCGCCAGCAAGTAGGTTCCCCCTCCCCCTACTGCAGCTCTATCCCCTAAACCCTAAACCCGAAACCCTAAACTCCAAACCCGAAACCCGAAACCCTAAACCCTACCGCCCGCCGCCATACACGCTCGGGCCTCTGGGGCAGGCGGCACGTGAGCGGCGTCTGGAAACCTCAGCTGTCTTCAATTAATTGCCCACCAAGGCTCGAAGTATGGCGTCGGCTAGAAGCGCGCTCAGTACGAAGATAACCCCCCCAACAAAAAGGCTCTTTGAGGCCCTACAAAGGCCCTAAAGAGGTTCCCTAAAACGGACCCAAAAACAGCCCGAAAGAGGCACTGCAAAGGCCCCAAAAGAGGTCCGAAGCCCAAAACCCAAAGTCGGGGGCGAAGAGACAGTGTTTGCAGCAGCTTCGCCGAGCCGAAAGGGTCCTGAGGCGCCCCTAAACTTCTAAACCCCTCTGCCTATGAATGCTGAGCCAACTGTAGGAAGAAAATTGGAGGGCCGTTTTCTTCAAAATCCAAATCTTTGAAGTGATTCGGAGTCCCTGCCCCATGCACCTATGCGAGCCGTTATGAGTTTGGGGTGCCTTGTACGGCTTCGGATCTGACCATGTGGCATCAGGGGCTTCGGGCGCTGACGGTCACGACTCGAGCCTGCACCCCAAAACCCTAAACGCCCAAAACCACAAAATGACTCAACATCATGAAACATTGAAGGTCCACCGAGCCATGGCTCTCTATGCTTTGACGGGCTTGTGGGAGAAGCGTGACTCCCTAAAGGGTTTCCACCCCCCCCCCCCCCCCCAAGCCTCAACCCTAAACCGCCCCTAACCCTGAGTCCCCCAAAACCCCCCCAAACCCCCCAAAACCCCCCGCAAAAGCCCACATCTGCTCTAAAGCCCTTCGACCCTACACCGCAACCCTAACCCTGAACCCTGAACCCTGAACCCTAAACCCTAAACCCTAAACCCTAAACCCTAAATCCTAAACCCTAACCCTAAACCCTATAAACCCTTCAAAGGGGGGGTGGGGGCTCCTTGTAGATCGCCTCCATCGACCTGGCCCAGGCCGACATCACCGCGATGTCGGCCAGGGGCACTGCCGGCCTTGGCCATCCCAAAGCTACGAATTGCTTAAGAACCTCAAAAAAAGCAAAATAATATTCCGTTTAGCTGTTTTTTGTAAAAGTTAAAATGCCCTTTTAGGGTTGTTTAACGTTTAAGCAAAATTATTCCTTATTAAGGGTAATATAGGGAGTATCTTTTTTCATTTTGATTCTGTGGGGTTCTTAAGCAAATAGAGTAGAAAGCGAGGTGGAGCTGGGGGGATGAAGGGTTTATCAGGGTTTAGGGCTAGGGTTTAGGGTTTAGGGTTTAGGGTTTAGGGTTTAGGGTTTAGGGTTAGGGTTTAGGGTTTAGGGTTTAGGGTTTAGGGTTTAGGGTTTAGGGTTTAGGGTTTAGGGTTTAGGGTTTAGGGTGTAGGGTGTAGGGTGTAGGGTGTACGGTGTAGGGTTTAGGGTTGAGGGTTTAGGGGTTTAGGGGGTAAGGGTTTAGGGGCGAAGGGTATCATTCGGGTTTTGTTGGCGTTTCGGTTTGGGTTCAGTTTAAGGCTCAGTTAGGGTTTACGGGCTTTCGGGGTGCATTAGGGTTTCAGCCTTTCAGGCTTCAGGGATTTCAGGGCTAGAATGAATGGCCTTTTGCCCTGCGTGCAAACTTAGCAGGTTGCTCCAAGCCCTAAACCCTAAACCCTCCAAAACCCTCAGATCCTCAAAACCCTAAACTCTGAAGAGACATGCTCTACATGATTCCAACTCCAGTTTTACAAGCCATGGCAACCGATCACGCAGCACAGTTTCGTGGGAGTATAGATATAGATTTTCGGGTTGGGGTTCGGGAGGCATGTGGTCGCTGTAGGGTGTCGGGTTCAGGGGTTTAGGGTTTAGGGCTAGGGTTTAGGGTTTAGGGTTTAGGCCCTGAACTTTAGGGTTTGGGGTTTGGGGTTCAGGGTATAGGGGTTTTTACGGCTTGGAGTCCAGGGGGTTTAGGGAACAACAAGCCACCCTCGCAGCATGCCGCTGAATGGGAAGGCCCAGTGGCAAAACGGGCGGCATGTAGAGCCTCGTCGCGGAGGGGGCGCTTGGACGTCAACACCTTGAACCTCCAAATCCTAAACCCTAAACCCTAAACCCTAAACCCTAAAGGCCCTAAAAGCGCTTAAAACAGCAGAATCCTTAAACCCCGAGCCCCAAAAAGAGCATGCGAAAAACCCTAAGCCCTAAAGAGCATAGTCCTACAATGCGAAACCCTGAAGAACATAATCCTAAAGCTCAGGCCAAAAAAAACTCCTGGCACTTCAAGCCCTGGCGGGCTCTTGTTTTGCTGCCCTCGGGCATTCATGAAAGGGCCTAGGGGAGCTTTGGGCTTTTAGGGTTTCGGGTTTGAACCCTTAATCCTAAACTCCTCAGCCCTCAACAGCTAGGGGGGGGGGGGGTTCAAGCATGGAGGTGCTTTGCGGGTCGCATGGTTTGACAGTCCCGCACCAACAAACATCTCTCTAAACCCTGAACCCAAAACCCTTAAACCCTAAACACTCAATGTAGTATCATACAACAGTTTAATCACATACATACAAAATATATGAATACAATACTTCATTATTATTTACATAACATGATTATCTGGCAATACACTATTGATTTGAAAGCACATATCAATAACATAGGAGTCTGGGTAGCACAAAGCAGGCTGCACAGATTGCACCGCACTTTTTTGGCTGGAATGGGTACCCCCCCCCCCCCCCCCCCCGGCCAACAGGGTCGCTTAGCGTCAAGATATAATATACATAATACTAATAGAACAATATAATAATAATAGTAATAATAATAATACAACAACAACAAATATACAGATATATGAATATTGATACTAGAAAAACTCATATAATGAGCCTTGAACCCGAAACCCGGACGAATCCCACCGATTGTCCGAGTCACTTCGACTCATCCTCTTGATAGGCGGCCAGAAGGCCGACCACGGAAGCAAAGAAGGACTCCTGGTTTTGCTTTCCAACTGAAACATAAGCAGAGACCATAAAGCTGAGGCGGGGTTTAGGATAACGCTGAGGCAGGGTTTAGGATTTAGGGTGTAGGGTTTCAAATTTAGGGTTCAGGGTTTTTAGGGGTTTGGTACATCCTGCTACCCTCTACGCTGCGTGCACTGGCAGTTTGAGAGTGTCCGTTCGTCGCGTCTGTTGGGGGCTGGAGGGTTAGATGCCGTGGCGTTCTCTGATCGTTTTCAATGCAGCTTGCTCCTGTTAGGAGTTGTTGCAATGGTGCTGGTTGATATCCTGTTGGAAGATTGAATCCGCAGCACGGAGCTTTTTGGAACCAGGCCCTAGCCCTGAGCCCTCAGCCCTAAGCCTTCAGGCCTACACCCAAAACCCTGAACCCTACCCTGAACCCGAACTGAAGGCGGCCTGCGTTGAGACCGGCTGCCCCGGGACGAACTCACTCGCGTAGGCGTTGAGCGGCTTGTAAATCACCTTGAGGGGTACATTCCGTAAACCCTTTTCTGGCATATAGGGTTCAGGTTGGGATGTTCCCCCTTAGACTAACAGGGATACACTAGTATCCCTACTATCATCCCTTTTAAGGACTGTTAGTACGTATAATAACGGGGCACTTCCAAAGGTTCAGGCTTTACAGGATCGGGCTTGTGGAGTGTAGGGCTTGGGTACATGGGCGCATGGGTCGTTGCTCTTGCCCCACACCTGCAAACCCCCAATCCTCACCCGGCCCAGCACCTCAAGACTCCCTGCAAGTCCCCAAAGCCCTGTAAACCCCAAAGCCTAAAAAACCCTAAACCCTAAACCTAAACCCCAAACCCTAAACCCCCGACCCTTCCCCAAAAAAAAAAGCCTTGCCACAGGGCTCCAACTTCTGCTCCATCTTGGGCCGTTCACACTTCTCTGGGGTCTGCTCGGTCAGGAAAGCCTGGTTCAGGGTTGATTTAGGGCTTGGGGGTTTAGGGTTTAAGGTTCAGGGTTTAGGGTTTTAGGGCTGAGGGTTTCAAGTTGCGGGCGACATTGCAGGTTTGGCGTTTGAGGTGTAAGGCGTAAGCGCGAAAACACACAACTAGTTTCGCTTGTAACATCAATCATTCATTTCACGAGCTTCTGGTCATATTCTCTTCGCTCCTGACAAATCGACGAAATGAGTGCGCGTGATGTTGTGGACGATGCCTTCTTGGATCAGGTTCGGTCTCCTGGGCTGTGTGTGCTCGAAAGCCATGTATTGGTTCAACCCAACACCTCAACCCCCAAACCCTAAACCCCAAACCCTTCCCCCCAAACCCTAAACCCTAAAACCCGTCGCACTGGCCTGCAGATGCTTGGTTCTGGCCGTTGGTGTGTGCACCTGACAAAGTTGAGAGCAACCCAGGAACCCCACAAGCTCCCCAACAAAGGGGGGGGGGGGTTCCGAAAATAGTTGTACCCTGTTTGGGGGCCCCTTCAAGGGAATCTTGGATCTTATTCTATTTGGGGTATAATAGGGTACCCCTATTTTGGGCACTACCCATATCTCAAGTGGGTGTTAGGGTTGAGGGTGTCTTGCTCACAAAAGGGATGGGGGTCTTAGGGCATGAGGGGTTTGCACTGCTTTCCTCCCCCCCCCCCCCCCCCCCCAAGACTTCTAAACATGCTCAACCCCATCGCCCTGAACCCTAAACTCTAAACCCTAATCCTAAACCCTAAACCCTAAACCCTAACCGTAACCCTAAACCCTAAACCCTAAACCCTAAACCCTAAACCCTAAACCCTAAACCCTAAACCCTAATCCTAAACCCTAAACCCCAAACCCCAAACCCTACACCTGAAGCTCTAAGCCCCAAGCCCCCCAGCCGGCTGCCAACCTTTAGGCCTCGTTCCTTTCTACCTCAAGCACTCAATCGAAGCGCCAAGGCCTACTTTAGGGTTTAGGGTTTAGGGTTTAGGGTTTAGGGTTTAGGGTTCAGGGTTCAGGGTTTAGGGTTTGGGGTTTAGGGTTTGGGGTTTAGGGTTTGGGGTTTAGGGTTTAGGCCCTCTAAGCCTTCAACCCGCACTTGGCATGCCCCCAACAAAAACTCTCAGACGACCTCTTCGAAGTCATTGCTGTTCGCTGCAGACGCCTCCTGAACACGGGGGCTTGGGACTACTTGGGACTGTGGGGCTTCTGATGTAGGGTTCAGGGTTCACGGTGTAGCGTTTTGCAGGCTTCGGAGGCTTTCACCCTGCCGGCGTTGGGGTAATATGGTACGCCCTAAACCAACCGAGTTGGGGCTTGTACGTTCTCCAGGAAGGAATCTGGAGCTTGTGGGGACTTCTTGGGGCCAAAAGGGGTTGATCAGGGGTCTTAGGGCTTCTCTAAACCCATAAACCCTCATTGTGGCCTTACAGATTACCGGGCTTGCAGGTTTTTTTGGGCCTATATGGGGATTTACGATAATCAGGGGCTGATATAAACCACCCAAAAGGTAGGATCAACCCATGAAGAAGGACCCCAACAATCCAACAAGGTACCCCTGAGGGCGGTGCGAAACCCTAAACCCTACACCCTAAACCCTAAACCCTAAACCCTAATTTGTTTGCTGGCTCGGCCTCCTCGGACTTCTGAAAGTGCTTCGCATCTTTCAGAGCGCCCTGTGCCAATGTCATATGGTTTAGGGTTTAGGGTTTAGGGTTAGGGTGTTCTGACTCTGCCAAACTCCGCCCCCCTTGAAAACCCGGACAGGCATATAGGTTCTTGCTTGAAGAGGAATGATGGGGGGAATCTAACCCTGCAAAAAGGGAGGCAAAGTCCTCTCTGAATCTTAGACCTGCTTGCGGAAGGGTCTTCGGGCTTGGGCACCACATGCAAAACACAAGGCGTCGTTTGAGTAGAGGGCTGGGAATGGCTAAGAACCCTGAGAACCGAAGCCGTGGAACCCTACTACACACCCCCCAGCTACATCTTGAACTCAGCTCCAGAACCTACATCCTTCAGTCTCAGGCCGGCCACCTTCTCCTCTTCAGGCTTCGCAGGCTCCGTCCTTGGCAAGAGGCGGGCCAGAAAGGGGTGACGAGGGGGCACCGTCTTTTTGCCAGCTTCCAGGCGATTGGAGACTAAAAGCCCTTAAGCCAAGTGCTTTTATGGGGCTTCGGGGAGGGGGCTGAAGGACTTACAGGGCTTCTTGGCAGCCCCATTTTTCGCAGAGAAGGCACCCACCCCTCCACTAAGCTGGGACTTCTCTCCCCTCAGCACTGATAAACAAACCCCGAGACCAAGCCCGTCCGCCCCCCTTCAACCCTCAACACCTGGAAAACCCAAAACCCCAAACCCCAAACCCTAAAGGCCCCACACCCTAAACCCTAAAGGCCCTAAACCCTAAACCCTAAACCCCATGTCTGAGCTATGGACGGTCCCATGGTCTTCGGGGTGCCACGGGATGTTCCTGAGAGGCACTTGTTTTCTCACATGTTCCGGGCCTCTTTTTGCAGGCGCATCCTCCGAAACCCTATAAACCCCAAACCCTGAAACTTTGGGTTTAGGGTTTAGGGTTCAGGGTTTAGGAGTTTAGGAGTTTAGGAGTTTAGGAGTTTAGGAGTTTAGGAGTTTAGGAGTTTAGGAGTTTAGGAGTTTAGGAGTTTAGGAGTTTAGGAGTTTAGGAGTTTAGGAGTTTAGGAGTTTAGGAGTTTAGGAGTTTAGGGGTTTAGGAGTTTAGGGGTTTAGGAGTTTAGGGGTTTAGGGTTTAGGGTTTAGGGTTTAGGGTTTAGGGTTTAGGGTTTAGGGTTTAGGGCATTCTGGGCTTGTGTAAGTAGCCCCCCTCCCTCCCTCTCGGAGCCAAGTCAAGCTGCGCAAGGTCTCTGGCACGATCCGGGCCTTCGGAAGCTGGCCAGCCTGCCAAGGTTTAGGGTTTAGGGTTTAGGGTTTAGGGTTTAGGGTTTAGGGTTTAGGGTTTAGGGTTTAGGGTTTAGGGTTTAGGGTTTCGGGTTTAGGGTTTAGGGTTTAGGGTTAAGGGTTAGCTCAAAAGGCTTCTGGAGAACGGGAGGTGGCAAGTCAGCCGGTGCCTACACCTGCTTCCGAGGTGCTCGGCTTCGGTGTTCTTCAGGGTTTTGCGGGTTTGGGGTATAAGGTGTACGGGGGGGGGCAGGCATTTGGGGTGAGGTGCTTGGGGCTTCAGGGATTCGGCTATTCTGCCGAAGATTCCTCCGGTCTGAATAGTGTCCTTGTGCCCCCCAAAACCTCCACTACTTCCGCCTAAACCCAACCCGAGTAATGATCAAATGCCAGTGTCCCAAAACTTCCTCTTGAAGGACATAGGGGCTTCGCCCTAAACCCTAAGCCCTAAACCCTAAACCCCTGAAACAAGCGAAGCCACTGAGTCGGAGCGCCTGGCCATGAAACTTGGAGTTTAGGGTTTAGGGTTTAGGGTTTAGGGTTTAGGGTTTAGGGTTTAGGGTTTAGGGTTTCGGGTTTAGGGTTTAGGGTTTAGGGTTTTAGGGTTTTAGGGTTTCCAAAAGCCCTCAAACCTTTCCACGGCATCGGAGACGGCTTGCCTCCATGCTGCCTCCGGCCGCGCGGGGGCGCGCGGCCAGGAGTTGATCTCTCTGAAGCACCTGAGGACTGGCTGGTTCTTAGTAGGGTCTGGGGAATTAGGCCCCTGTGTAATCCCTTAAAGGGTAGTTATAGTGCCCTCAATCCCTCGTTCCCTACGCAATATTGGGGACGCTATTACGAAAAGATTTTCGGCTATTCAGGATTTTGGACTGACTGTTTGGTTTTTGTTTATTCAGGGGCCTCGATTGTTTGGGTGGGGGGGGGGGGGGTTACATTATTAAAGCAGGTCCAACATTAAGGACTAGGGGGAAAATGTGGATATAGGGGTTGGGGTGTTGAGGGTTCAGAGATTTGAGGGTTTAGGTTCTGAGGTTTAGGGTCCAGGGTCTTGTGGGGTTAGGGGTTTGAGGGTTTAGGGTTTTGAGGGTTTTGTGGTTTTGAGGGTTTTGAGGGCTTTGTTGCGAAAGCAAATCACGATGAGGACTTTCCGAGGTGGAGGTGCCCCCAAAGGACGCTAACTTAAGAGTGAGGGTTGCATGCGTGGGACTGAGGTCGAGCCCCCAATGTGTTGAGACCTTCCATACTGAATCCCCATGCGAATCTACCCCGGAGGAGCCCCGCATTCAGATACTTGAACGTGTCGACTGCCGGCGGGTGTGGGGCATACGCACATGTTTGCTTAAACTCACACATGAATGCGTATATATGGTTCAGCGTCGAGCGTCCTGGGCCCCCCCCCCCCCCCTATCCCCCCCCCCCCAAGTCTACTCTACGGTCCCTAAACCCTAAACCCTAAACCCTAAACCCTAAACCCTAAACCCTAAACCCTAAAACCTAAACCCTAACCCTAAACCCTAAACCTTAAGTCTTAAACCTTAAACCCTAAACCCTAAAACCCTGAACCCTAAACCCTAACCCTAAAACCAACCCCCAACCACACCACAGGGGGGGGGGGTATCATCTTAGTACCCCATCCGCGGGGAAAACCCTAAACCCTAAACCC